AGCCATATTTGGTGGTGCAGTGGGTTAAACTAGGCTGTTAAGTGAAAAGTCAGTGGATGGTTCAAACCCACCAGTCACTCACTGCGGGAGAAGGCTGACGCAGTCTGCTTCCATAAAGATTTATAGTTTTGAAAACCCCGTGGGGCAGGTGGCAATGAGTCGGAATTGACTTAATGACAGTGAGTTTGACGTTCTGAACTTACTGTTTGTTGCTGTTAAGTGCTTTTGAGCCGGTTCTGACTCCTAACGACCCTATAGAATAGGGTTTCTGAGGCTTTAAAACATATATATTTTTGCAGGTGCAGAAAGCCTCATTTTTCTTCCACAGAACAGCTGGTGGGCTTAAACCATGGACCTTATGGTTCACAGTCCAGTGATTAGTGTATGGAGCCAGGAACCTTATGAATTGATATCCCAATATTTTCTGGGTGAATTTCTTCTTTTACTCTATGATGATGTTACGTACCGTGGAGTCGGTTCCAACTCATAATGATCCTGCACAGGGTTTCCGAGGCGGTAAATCTTTATGGGAGCAGAACGCCTCATCTTTCTCCCATGGAACTGCTGGTAGTTTCAAACTGCTGACCTTGAGGTTGGCAGCCTGACTTGTAACTACTATGCTACCAGAGCTCTTTTACTCTATGTTATCATACTCTATGATAACATTATTTAATTGTTGGTGAAACCTTTAGCAAACCAGGGATTTCTTCTTGGAAGTCAAATTCCCTAGGAGTTGGGTAGGAGACATTCCTTTATTTGTGTTATCAGCAGTTACTTAGAAAAACAGTCACTGTCTGGGCGAGATCAGACTCAGTAAACATCAGCTGCCTGCCTGACTGGAAGCCTATCAGCTCATTATCTAATCTAATGTTGTCTGAAACAGTCAGAAGGAAGGGCTTAGGCCTTAACAGCCTGACCTCAGCCATCATATATGGTAAGATTGGGAGATTCACGTATGAGCACCAGGTGGGTGACTAGGACCAGCTTTGTCTTTCCTTCTTTATAAGAATGTTTTCCAATCCTGTGCTGAAGCCCCATTCTTCTCTCCCCAACCTCCTGGTCCCAGCTAAAAATGATGAGACAAAGTGAGGGTGGGGGAAGAACTTTAGGTTGGCAAGCTGGATCATAGAACGTATCATTCCAAGGACATTCCAGGAGCAGTGGACAGTGGGGGGATGTTGAGGTTCTGAAAGGACAGAGGACTTGGGAGATGCAAGGTGAGAATCAGGGCCAGAGGGCAGGGGAGCACTCGCTGTCAGGAGCACCAGGGACCCTGGGTGAAGAGGGTGTGGCCTGAAGGGAGAAAGGAGAGCAGGGTACCCCAGGAAGCCATGAGCTGACTCTGTACTTCTGATATGCTTAGGGACCGTGGGATTTCATGCAGTGTATCCCCTGCCATGCAGCTTGTGTCTTCCAGCTCCCATTCTTGTCCTTCTCCAATCCCTCATTTTCTAGGCTGCAAGTGTGTCCTTTCCCAAACAGACCTGAAAACAAATGACCCTTAGATGTTCAGACATGGGAAAAAGAAACCCCAGGATCACGCATAGAGAAATGTAAATGACAACTTCAAAGATACCATTAAAAAAAAAATCTCTACATTGATCAAATGATAAGAGAGCAGGCCATAAGAGAAGGAGAGGAACCAGCTCTTCTCCCGTGTAGTTTCTGAGTAGAAACTTAGAAATAATGCAAATAAGGTGCATGGTACCCTTGTGGGGTGTAACTGCGCAAAGGAGGTACGTGGACATTTTTGTCTAGTAGGCTTAAAATGTGCCACTCCAGAGGTAGAAAGTGGGGAAGCTCACTGCCACTAAGAATGAGTGGGGTGCATTCTTAAGACTCAGGATCTCTATGCTGAGAACCTTCTAGACTCAGTAGGCATAAAGAGGGATTTCTGTAAACTGGGGATGGTAAGAGATGGTAAGAAACAGTGGTAGAGAAATGGCAACAGCAGAGGCAGTAGAACCAGGAGATTGGCAGGAGACAGTGAGGGGGGCTTCCTGGTCAACAGAATAAGAAAGTTGGGCACCTTCAAGCAGGAGGCTTGCTGGGGAGTGGAGTGCCACTGTGCAATCATCAGTAGAGCTGCAGAGAGAACTTTGTAATGCTTCCCTGAGTAGGGCAGAGGCCAGAGAGAGGCTGCCTGTGAGCATGCGGTGACAAACTGTTCTGACTGAAGAACTGAATCTTCAAGTTGTTTCTGATCCTGAATTTGAACCTAACAAACTCCATTAGCATGAGTATTGTCTGTGAGTTCTGTGTGGTCAATCAAACACCACAGAGAAGTAGAGAGCATTGTGGGAAGGATGTCGTTGTTAAGTGCCGTGGTGGAGTCAGACACAACTCGTAGTGATCCTGAGTAAGGTTTTTAAGCAACAGCTACCTGGGTGAGTTTGAACCTCTGACTTTTCAGTTCAAACTGATCTTGTGGTTCAGCACTTTATCCTACTGCATCCTTGGTGGCTGGGAGGGATGGCTGCTGTCAAAATCATAAAAATATTGGAGAGGAGGTTATGTCTGGACCATAGCTTCATAGCAGTCAAGCTTGGACTACTGATTCTCCTCCCCCACCTTGTGAAGTTTAGGAGTCCCAGTAGTGTAGTGGCTTATGACTTGGGCTGTTAACCATAACATCAGCCGTTTAAATCTACCAGCTACTCTGTCATAAAAAGGTGACGCTTTCTGCTCCCATAAAGATTTACAGCCTTGGAAACGTTAAACAAGGTTGCTATGCATCAGAACCAATGCCACGGCACATAACCACCACTGCCAGGTAGTGTAGTGGTGATGAGTCAGGTTGCTAACCTCAAAGTCAGCAGTTTGAAACTACCAGCTGCTCCGTGAGAGAAAGATGAGGCTCTCTGTTCCTGTAAAGATTTATAGCCTCAGACGTCTATGCAGGGTCGTGATGAGTTGGAACCAACTCCACGGCACACCACCATAACCTAGTTGTGAAGTTAAACAAAAACGTTGAATGCTGGCACCATGCCATTTTTCACACTTGCTTTTCTCATCTGAAAACAGGGGTGATAATGGCAGAGTTTATTTCATAGGGTTGCTTTAGAGATTAAACGGGAATATACACACAGAGCACTTAGAACAGGGCATGGTATATAGGCAGTAATGGTAGTTCTCTGTCATCAGTTGGAAAAGGCGGCGTTTAGAGTCAATCAAATTTTTAAATCCACATACCTTCCTACCAAACACCGTATCTAATATTATATTATAAAGAAATGTCAGCACAGTGCATAAACAAACATAAAAAAAAGTACAAGGGCCTCACAACAACATTCACTGAAATAAGAGACTAGGTACAACCTAAACACACAGCACTAACGAAGTAGTTATGTAAATGATGGTATATTCTTAAGATGTAATAATATGAAGATGTTAACAAATGAAGCAGCTAGGTATTTACCAGTGTGAAATAAATTCTAAGATATAGGATTACTTTAAAAAAAAAGAGAGACCAAAGTAAGACAAACAAACAAAAAAACCAGAGACCAATGTGTAGAAGTGGGTAAAATATATACCTATTCTTTACTTAAGGAGCTCTGGTAGCAGAGGTTATGAGTTGGGCTGCTAATTTCAAGGTCAACAGTTTGAAACTATCAGCCATTCCACAGGAGAAAGATGAGGCTTTCTGTTCCCGTAAATATTCACAGCCTCGGAAACCCTATGCAGGGTCGCTATGAGTTGGAAATGACTCCACGGCACACCACCACCATGTTGTTGTTAAGTGCCATTGAGTCAGTTCCGACTCATAGTGACCTTGTATAGGGTTTCCGAGGAGCAACTGGTGGGTTTGAACTGCTGACCTTGCAGTTTTCAGTCTAGTGCCTAGCCTATAGCAGCACACTCACCCTTCTGGTTTCAGGTTAGTTACTACCTTCCCTGGAGATGCACTGACAGCATCCTAGAGCAGGTAAGATGCCCCTATTCCATTCCCACTGTGCCTTGTACATCTCTGATGGTAACACAGACAAGGGACATATCCAGAATTCACTGCCAGGTCCAAAACTCATGCCCTGGAATGTCCTTTGACAACAGGGAACTTCTGACACATTTCTTGCACACCCTCTTTCTGCCTTCTCAGGAACCATCTTCCCTCTTCAATGATAACGGATGACCAAGTTCCAGCCCAATGGTAAGTGGGCCGCAAAGTGTCCTACTGCAGAGCATGAACCAGTCATGGTAAGTCAGCCCATATCCCTTGCAGCTAACACTGAGTGGTTGACCTAAGTCTAGGAAAGACTTTCAGTTCCCCATAAAAGGAGCAGTTTGTGAATCCCGGGCCTCTATCCATGTGCTTTCTGCTTTGGAGACTATAATGTGAAGATGAGATGTCAGGGGCCATGGCAAAGACCTTGAACTCCAAAGGAAGAAATGCCCAGCATCACCAGGCAACACTCCAACTCTAGCACTGCTACCACCAGACTATATGAGGGAGCATAAGAAAAAAGTTCATACTATTGAACCAACCCCATCATTTCTGTTTATTGCTCAAGCTACTCTTGGTTAGAGAGTCGGTTAACTGCAGCCCAAAGCCTTCCTAACAACACATCATTGTAAGTTAGACAGACTTAAATCCTAGGACCCATCCAAGGAATTTAGCAAAGAATCTCTTTTTGAGGCCAGGGTTGCTGATGTTCTGTAATTGTGTACCTGGGCCACAATGGCTCAAAGTCACCAAAATAATTAACTCATGGCACTTACTCTATTTTCAGACTCTCAATCTGCTACAGAAGACTTAGCTATGAAGACCTTTTTGATCTTAAGACACCTAACCCTCAATGGGACTTTCCACAGGACAGTAAGAAAGGAACGACTTAGTCTACTGGTTTCAACTTTATTCCTAAAGTCATCAGAAGCCCCTGGTATCTTCATATGGCACTGTCTTTGGGCCCATTCACCCAAAAGTTTGTATGCTCTGCTTTATTAAATCTTCAACCTGTTCTTTTCCTCAACTCTTTAGGAATGAGAACGTAAATCATACTTACCGGGGTTTGAAAGCAGCAGAAGAGCTGAGTGAGGAAGGGGTGGTTGCGAGCCAAAGACAGGATCCTTTTCTCGGTCATCGTGCATTCCACATCATCGTCCTGAAGAATCACGTCCTTTTTTAGCACCTTCACAGCATAGAGGTCTCCTGTCTCTTTTATCCTTGCAAGCATCACCTATGGCAAAGCAGAAAGAGGAGGACCATGAAGAAGTGGTCTTGGGATTTCCAGGGAATGGACACACAAGGGGAAGAACGAGAATGGAGTGTGAGAAATCTGAGTGTGGATACATGCGTGCGCACACAAACACCACATACACATGTGCTAGCACAATTAAAGCCAAGACTCACCTTCCCAAAACTCCCCTTCCCCAACACTCGGATGAACTCAAAGTTGTCGAAACCAAGGTGGTTGGAAGAATGAACCCCGACCCCATTTCCTTCTTTGGTGCTGTCTTTCCCTTGTCGTCTTAAGGTCGATCTAGAAACCAGTTTCTGCAGAGAAAAGAAGAAAGACTCTGCGTCAGAGATCTCAGGGTGACTAGAAAGGCATGCTCACCATGGAATCTGGACAGCCATTTCACATCAACAGGGCAGCATTCACCTAAGGACAGAATTCCGGAGGGATGGGAAGGAGGGTGGAACGGAGACAAGTACCAGGAGGACGTGGAATAATTAGGTTACATGGAGAGGATTACCAACAGTGAAACAAAGTGTGTGGTTTTTTAAATGTAAAACTGATGATCTGCTCTGTCAACCTCTACTCAATTAACAACAATAATTACAAAAGAAAAAAAAAGTTAAGAGAGAAGTCTCAGTATGAGCTTTTGTACCTGCAGGAGCAGGCTTCATTCCCAATATGACTCCTGGGAAAAGACAACAGTTCATCTTGATGTGTGTGCTGGTTTGAAAATTCAAAAATACCTCAGTATCAGTTGCTGCTCTGGGCTTACTGCTATTTGGGGAAGAATCATTTTTAAATCTGTCTAAGCCACTGAGTTTCAGTTGGCATGCAAATCAAAGGGCACAGAAAAAAACAGATGCCAAGGCGCCACCTGGTGGTCATTTCTTACACAGCGTGGTTTCACATTTCACTGAAACACTCATTTGTGAGTCAACTTTTTATGCAACATTTAGATTATGTAAAGGAAACAAAAATTCAATGTAAATTTTGAACAATGAACAGACTTATGAAAAATAAAAGTTTAAATATCCATATTCCCACCAGACTCACTACCCCACCTACAAAATCTGTCAACAGATTGATACATATCTGTCTTTTAGATGCTTTGTTGGTGGTGGTGTGCTGTGGAGTCCATTCTGACTCATAGCGACCCTGTACAAGGTTTCTGAGGCTGTAAATCTTTACAGGAGCAGAAAGCCTCATCTTTCTCCCATGGAACAGCTGGTAGTTTCAAACTGCTGACCTTGAGGTTGGCAGCC